AGTACTTTAAACTGTATAAATAAGTTACCCGGCAATTGATTTACATCAGCCAATCAGACGAATGTCTGCCTATGAGGTCTTTGCCTTGAAAATGACCTTACGGTACATGATACCGTAAGGTCATTTTCAAGGCAAAGACCCCATATTTCTATAGTGGCCACCTCTACTAAAGATCAACCTATACGGTATTTATACAAAATCAAAAAAATTAAAAAATTTGAAAATTTGCCATATTACACGAGTAGGCACTAATAAAAAAAAAGGTTAAATACGATGTATAATGTTTATTTAAAGTGATGGTAATTCATCAACACAGCCATACTTTTGAAATTGTGAGAACTCGACCCACAGAAGACCTGTTAACACCCAAATGTTTAGCAATTACTTTCAACTATTTCCAACGAAAAATCTTAGTAACAAATATATATGTGTTATGCATTTATATATGTGTAGCACCGAGATAAATAGCTTATCGAATTCAGTCGGCAAATTTTTTTAGGGTGTCCAAAATATTGATATCGATATCGACATATAATAGATCAATCCGGTAATTTATTGTAGGGGTGTGTATTTTAGACTCTGTTATCAAAACAAATTCTCATATACCGATACGTAAATATTTTATCTCATTGACCAATAAGCATAACGAGGACATGTTTCTTGTTATAATTTCCAGGTTGCCTAACGCTAAAAGTTTTTGATTGAGATCACGTTACCTGTTACAGTATTTGTTTGATAATCGATTATGCGATATGACATAACTGAATTTTTACAGGGGATACGTACGCACGCACGCATCTTCACAATAATCGGAAGTGTGTTCCGCTCGGAAATTCAAACGTTTTCTGATAATTTATCTACTTCTCCGGCTTTACTTTCTTGTAACTCTTAGTTCGTTACGTACCAAGTGTTCTTTTTTTTTTTTTTTTACAATTTGTGGGTAAAGTCTGTTTTTAAAGGCCGGTCGCACTTTTGTGGAGTTCTTCGCTGTGTCAAATTTAAAATTAATGTCGACCGCGAGCTTTAAAATCACGCATCTTAATTCGGTGCACAAACTCACTGTACCTTTATCTATTCAATGGAATAAACTAGAAGAGCAGGTAACCAAAGGTGCCAGGCACATTGTAACCTTCTTATTACATAGTGTAATAACTTAGGACATTACAATATTTATCTTAGATTCGTACTATATTCTTTGTCCCCTCTGGAACGCCATTTCTCCTGCGATATCGAGATGAGGACGGTGACTTGATAACACTCAACTCCGACCTCGAGTTTGAACAAGTTCTTCGTTCAGGTGCTCGCGTAAAATTCTTGCTAACTCTGCCTCAAGACGAAATCGAGCATCCAAATATTGACTGGGAAATCAGTTCAGAAAGTTCAGCTGATACCATCAGTGAAGAGCCTGTCCTAGTGCAGCAGGAAAATGAGAAGGATGATGACGCGATTGAAGAGTTTGATATGGAATCAGGGGATGGTCGGCTTACATTTCAAAATGAACAGGTTGTCATGATCGATAAGAAGGATGAAGAAATGAGTGAGACATCGAGTAACAATGATGTTGAATCCGAAACGACACATGATTTTCTTGACGTTGCCAGTTTGCTACATCCGTCATTTGAGCAACAAGAACTAGGTCAACATCAAGAACTTAATGGACTAAATGCTTTTAATGAATGTCTTAAACAGAAATCCAATCAACAAGAGCAACAGAAACAACATCCAAACGTGTCTCTTAAAGAATTTTCAACAAAGATCGAACAGGTTATTCAAAAATGCCATAAAGTCATTGTCGAAAATCCAGAGATGCTTGCCACGGCAAATTCTGTGTTGGATGATGTAAGACTAATTTAATTATATAATCGTTTTATTTTCCCCTAGTAATTATGCTTATATTTGCTTACGTTCAACAGGTCTTGGAAAATACACCGATGTATATCGAATTTGTATTAAATATGCTAAAGTCAGTAAAGAATCAAAGCACAACCACAAACTCGTCAAATGATACTTCAAGTTCTCAACATAACCAAGATGGAAATCCTTCTGACATGCCCGGTAGTTTTCCTAATAGTCCTACACCCATATTCCAATTTTTACCTGGAAATCATTATCCGATCACTCCGGTATCAAATACACAACAAAGATCTCGTTTTAACGCGGGCCTAAGTCGTCAGTCCCGATTTGTCGATAATATATCACTTCCACCACCACCACCACCTCCTCCTCATGTACCACCGCCACCACCTGTACCGTTAGGTCCCCCGCCACCACCTCCGTTGTTCGGTCTCCCACCAACACCCCTTAACCCTCAACTTACTTTGCCAAAGCCAGCCACTTCTCTCCCACCATTTCCTGGCAGTTTTCCAATGACAAATAACGAAAGTCAGGACTCAAATTCTACTTTCGATCGCTATTCTGGAGAGCTAGAATATCTTCATGATATGGGATTTACGGACAGAGAGCAAAATCTCAGCCTTCTTCGGCAACATAATGGTGATATCGAATCTGTAATTGAAAATATTATATCTCAAAGGGACAGCGTTGGTTCTTCTTCGTCTGCATCACTTTTCTGTCGACGAGATGGATCAATACTTGCAAGTAACAACACAAATAATACACCAAATGCTACTTTCAACGTTAACAACAACGTCTCGGGCACAAGTACATTTTCTTGGTCTTCTGCGGCGGCTGCAAACAGTAATCAACCGGAAAGGCGTAGAACTATGAAGCCATATTGGCAATGGAACAACGACAAAGATAAAGACACCTGTTTGCGAAGGGATGAGAATAATGAACGAGTTACATCAGCATCTTTTCGTCTTCCTAGCATTAACATTGTCAATGATAGGGGACGTTTTCCTCGACAACGATCGAGACACCAAAGAATTCCCGAGATATATGAACAAGTGAGAACTGAAGAAGATGTGCCGCAAAGACCTGGGATGTATGATTAATGTCATGTCAAAACTTATGAAACTTTGACCCTGTGTATGAATTTTATACATATTATTTAAAACCAATCTTTTGTAACACCCAACTTCATAACTCATTTGTTTTTTCTTATATTTATGCTTTTTCTTGTATTATTATTTTATTTTATATTCTCTTCTCTTTTTTTTTTTTTTTTTGTTTGTTTGGTTGGTTTTTTTTTTTTTATTAACAATGATTCCATTCAATTCTCAGTTAATTGAGCTATACTATGATCCTACTTAGAACGTGCGTGGTATATATAACTCATGAAAATCAAGTTTGTTTCGAGGACTTGCTCCTACATGTCTTAACCTTTCATTTCTTCTTTACTATTGTAATTATAGACCACCACTACCCTAAAATTTTGTATGTATAATTTAAAACTTTATGGCTTCAACTCTCATCTTTTTTCGTGTAGGATTCATTTTTAAACTATATGGTTTTCTTCTGGGAAATTCAAAATTATTAATAAACCAGAGAATAATTTTGACCTTTTAAGTTACAATTTTTTGCACTGTTACTATGCTTCTTTACTATCCACAGAACATTATTTTATTGGTCAAATAAATTTATAATTTTTTTTTTTGAAATTTTATTTAAGCCATTATATAATAGCATCACCCATAAAAATAATGTAGCTCACGTCATAAAGCACGATGAACTGTTAGTAGTGCTATAAATAAACATAACTAACGTGATAGATAACTATAATATAAAAGTATCAAAATTCATTTTATGGTTAACTCTGTATAGCGATATCTTTTTGAAAAAGTTAGAAATTACTCTAAAAAAAAACTTTTTATTATAAAATGGCCAATTCAATTAAAGAATGTTGACTATTTACAAATATTAGAATGTTTATAGTTAGATAACTATATATTTAGTTTATTAGAACATATCGAGATAAATGCGTAATATCTTATTTTTCTACGTAATACAGTACACTCCCCTGACATTGATCACCGGAATGAAGATCTTTTTTATAATAAAACATAGTAAATATTGAAATTTTCACGT